CTTACAGCAGAAATACCAGGCTCTATTGAGATCATAAGTTGAGGACTACCTGAATAATAATATTAAAATGCATTTTTTTCAGACAGAATTTGTTTTCATTTGCCTCCATTGAAAGAAATGGACATTTGAAACACTTGTCTTGCAAGGGACAGTGCTCAAAATATAAATGAAAAAATATACCTAAATATGGATTTGTGAGTTCTTTGAAATATGGACATTAACAGAGAAAAGGGATATAAAACATTTATGAATGGGCACATGAAAAACTAAGGACCAGAATTAGCACCATCCGTTTATCCCACTTTAGGGCAAGGAGAAGAAAATGAATCGAGTATCAAGCTCAAATATTTATTAACAGTTTCTAAGATTTAGATATATTCCATCTATTTCTAATGCAGGTCTCTAATAAGAATGACTTATCTGGCCCAAGAGCCAGATTTAATCTTTTCATGAGAGTGCTAGCTGTATAAATATCATTATTACTTATTGATTTATTCGTCATTCATCTTGTGACACAGCAAGATTTGAAATTCCAAAATTTTGCAGAAGAAAAGGAAAATCCCTCTGAAATTCATTGGAAGCTGCTTTCTGTTAGAAACAGAAGCTAAGAAATCTAGAAATAGATTGTTTATGTGCATGCCAGAATAAAGAGAAGAATATTGCATAGATTAATGTAGATTATTGTAGATTAGATTATAACACAATGTATGCATCTGCCACCTCCTAAAGTCTGTCAACAGGAAGAGGAAAACCTCATCTCTAAAATGCTTTGTTTTAACAGAATAACAGAATTGGAAGGGACCTTAGAGGTCTTCTAGTCCAACCCCCTGCTCAAGCAGGAGACCTTATAACCTCTCAGACAAATGGCTCTCCAATCTGTTCTTAAAAGCCTCCAGCGACGGAGCACCCAGAACTTCTGGAGGCAAGTCGCTGCACCAATTAATTGTCCTAACTGTCAGGGAATTTCACCTTAGTTCTAGATTGCTTCTCTCCTTGATTAGTTTCCATCTGTTGCTTCTGGTCCTGCCTTCTGGTGCTTTGGAGAATAGCTTGACTCTCCTTTGTGGCAGCCCCTTAGATATTGGAACACTGTTATCATATCACCCCGGTCCTCCTTTTCATTAAATTAGACATACCCAATTCCTGCAACCGTTCTTCGTATGTTTTAGCCTCCAGTTCCCTTATCATCTTCTCTGAGCTTTACCTTCAAGGATTCTAGCATTTGCTTTCTAGCAACCTTGGTACATTCTGACTGCATGATCATAGGTCAGTGGTGGCGAACCTGTGGCACGGGTGCCAGAGGTGGCACTCAGAGTCCTCTCTGTGGGCACATGCACCATCGCCCCAGCCCCGCCTCCTCCCCCAACCCCCTCCTCACCAGCAGCCCCCCAGAGGAGAGTCACCCCTGGGCATGACCAACATGAAGCAGTGCAGCCAAGGACATGGTAGCCGGACAGCAGGAACAAGACTCTGCCCTTGCGCCCCATCGCACGCAGATGCTGCTGTGGGACACAGGCGGAGCCCGCGGCCGCCATTGCACTGCTGGGCTGCCTGGGTGTCTGTGGTGGGCCATGGAGGTGATGGGTGGGCCAGTGGGCACAGCGGAGCGGGGACAAGGGTGGGGGGTGGTTTTTGGGCACTCAGTCTCTAAAAGGTTCGCCATCACTGTCATAGGCAATCCTCAATTTATTACCATAACTGAGCCGAGAATTACAGTTGTAAATCATGCACGGTAATGAGATTAAGCTTCAAAAATGTAGATATAGATTAGATCAGCGTTTCTCAACTTTGGCAACTCTAAGATGTGTTGACTTCAGCTCCCAGAATTTATGCTGACTGGGGAGGTCTGGGAGTTGAAGTCCACATGTCTTAGAGTTGTCAAGCTTGAGAAACACTTTAGGAAGAACTTTTTTTAAAAAAATGTATTAGTTTGTCAAAATATAAAGTACAAAGAAAAATGAAAGTAACAGGAAAGTAAGGTAGGAAAAGGGGAAGAGGAAAAGGTGTAGGGGAAGAAAGGGAAAAGAAAGACAAGCATTGATTTCCAACTCTTTTTAGCACCATAGAATAAGGAAATAACATACAGCCTCATCTTTTTGTTTTTACATAATAATATATACTAGCCATTTCTATAACAACCAACCTATCTAATCAGCAAAACCCAAAGTCAAAGTCTCTTTCTTTAGCATCCTGCAGTAATTTATATCTAATTCTTGGGGGGGGGGGAGGTTCTCTTGCCTTATGAACTTAAAATTTCCGTTTGTCATTGTTTAAATGGAGTGTCAGTTGTAAGTATGATAAAATCTGAAATACAAATAAAATCTGTAGTAAAATTCCTTAGGAAGAAGTTCTTGACAGCAAGACTAGTCAGTCAGTGAACTAAATTACCTCATGGAGTGTTTTTTTCCCCTTCCTTGGATGTTTTCAATGGATAATCATCAGTTGTTGTTGTTGTTGTTGTTGTTATTATTATTATTATTATTATTATTGAGGATCATCGCACAGTCAGCCAGATGTTCAGACTGGATTTGGCATTTTTGTTTACCTATCAAGTCCTTACCAAGGACCTGGGATAGGCAGATGTGATGATGATAATGATGATGATGATGATCATCATCATCATCATCATCATCTGTGGTAATAGTGACTCCTACAGTGTGCAACAGATGGATTTGTTAACCTATTGTGTACCTTCCAACCCTATGATCTTGTGATTCTTTTTTGATCCCTATTTTATTGTTACTTGGCTTTAATCAAGCCATGGATATTTGACTTGTATTATATTCTGTGTAAACTGACACAGTGACCTGGAATTTTAGGCTTTGCTATTAGCATTTTAAAAGGTGATATCAGCACTTTGAATGTGGCCGTCTGGGCCTCTTGTCTTAAATTTCAGGAAAATATGTCCTTTTCTTCTTAGCCAAGACTGTTTCTTTTCAGCACTAAACAATAGAGAGAGGATTATTCTGAAAGTCTTTGAATACCACTCGCACATTTTAAGAATGATACAAAGGAATAATTTTAAGTCATAAATTTGCCACTTGAGGGATGTTGTCTAGAATCAATGTTTTCCATTGTGCAGGTTTTGCATGTAATCAATGCCTTTTATTTTTAATAGCTTGTCAGTATACCAAATGTATTTATCATTTGTCTTCGTGCCCTAAAAACAAGACTTGACACCCCCCTCACACATACACACACACTCACTTAGTAAATCCTTTTTGCTTTGCCTGAATTACTTGTTAATTTCTATTTTCTGGTGGACAGAAGCCTCTTTGTAAAGATAAAACATAGAATCGTAGGGCTGGAAGGGACCTTAGAGGTCTTGTAGTCCAGCCCCCTGCTCAAGGCAGGAGACCTTATACCATCCCAGTCAAATGGTTGTCCAGTCTATTTTTGAAAACCTCCACTGATGGAGCACATAAAACTCCAGGAGGCAAGCTATTTCACTGATTAATTCTTCTCACTTTAATTAATTATTAATTGTTCTCAAAGTGTCTTTCCCAAATGCAAGGAGCAGGTTCTTATCAGCACCACACCAAACTCGGAGTTTTGAGGCAACAACACGGATGCCCATCAGAATCAAGCATCCAAGTTGGCATGGAGCTGGAAAGAACCTAGTCCCTAAGTTTGAGAAAGAAACATCCAATACATCCTTCCCCCATATGAACCAGGCAAAGCAAAAGGCGCTTTACTAAAGAAAGACAAAGTCTTCTGGATTGGGTACAGAAACAAATGATACATATATTCGATATGTGTGATGTGTCAGAAAGCAACAAATCAAACAATAAATGACATTGATTGGACTTGAGAAAAAAACAGACAGCCTTAAAATAAGTTGTCTCTCTTCTTTTCCCATCTGGGCTTGTTTCTTTAACATTTGAAATCCTCAAAGACTTCATAATACAGCCAGATTGCTTGATGGATGGTCCCTGAAAGGGCTAATTTTTGCACTTCAAAGGAAATGGCTTTGGCTCAAATGGCTTCCTAAACTTCAAACTGTGGCACAGATACCATGCTAAAATGCTAATATCACCTTTATTAAAATGCTAATAATATAGTCTAAAACTCCAGATAACAAAATCACTTTCATTGTGGCAGAATATAAGATGGATGGACAGACGGACGAATGGATGGACGGACGGATGGATGGATGGATGGATGGATGGATGGATGGATGGATGGATAGGTGGATAGGCTCTCTAGATACATAGATAGGTGGCAGGATACAAGATAGATGGAGGGATGGGTATGTAGATAGGTTATCTAGATAAGAAGATAAAATAAGTAGACCACCTCATCCTTATTCGGGTTAGGGTTAGCTTTCCACCAGGACTGGAAGGCAGGGCATGTTACAAGTCAGTTAGGGATTGTCATCTGGTAGGATCATGAAAAAGGACCTTTTTGATGGTGGCCCCTTATGGAACATCATTCTTCCTGAGATACGGTTGACCCCCAATCTGCTGGTTTTCTGAAAGGCTCTACAAACATTGTTTTGTCAGTGGATCTGGAGACCATGAATGGAAATGAAGCTGATGGATGATTAGATTGTATTGTTGCTGCCATGGAGGATGAGGTAGAGTTTTTTTTAATGGTTTTATTATATGGTATTATATGGTGGATCTTTTAAAGTTTTTAACTGTTATAAGCCAATCGGAGTCACCTATGTGTGAATTGCATAGCTATATAAATTTGTTTAATAAATAAATAGGGTGTCTGTCTTTCTGTCTCTCTGTGTGTGCACACCTGCATATCTTCACCATAACTGAATTAGTGCAGTCATAAGCCTTTCTCCCAAAATTCTCTTTCATCAAATTGGATGACAAGCAGCACAAGATATAAGCAAGACCAGGGCTTTTTTTGTCAAAGAACACCCAGAACGGAGTTCCGGCACCTTTTTTGGATGCAACCTTGTAGGGTAGGCAAGGCGGGTTGTATGACATGTGTGAGTTCCGGCACCTTTTTTTTTTTTTTTTTTTACAAAAAAAGCACTGAGCAAGATGATGTTTTTCGCACAATACTAGAGGCAGATTCCACCTTGATCCTGCACAGGTATTGCTAATGAATTATGTATCCCCTGAATAAGCTACTCAGATAAGCTGAGGAGGATCAGCCAGGGAGAACGGCCTCTAGGCCAGATTTGACCATTTCTAAACTTGTCCAATTGCCTACAAAATATGCCTGCCCCCTTAAGAACATCCATTGGCAGTTGGAACAGTTGGAACTAAGAGCGAAGGCAACCATTCTCAATCTTCTCTTCCCTTTGATCTCCCTACTATGCAAGTCTAGAAAAAGGATTGAGGCCTGTCTCTGAGACAGAGGTTAGCAGTTTAGGCAGGCAAGAAACTTGTGGGATCTGGGCCTTGTTTTTTAACTATAAATCACATCCACAGCCCAGATGCCGAAGACTATTGCAAGGGGTAATTATATGGTTAGGATTAGGAATCAAGAATGGCTGTGAATGTAAACTCAAATAAGAGAATATTTGAAGTTCTGGGTTAACTAGTGGGATCCTCCATATTCTCTGGGCTTGGTGTCTCAATCATCCAGGTCATGGTTATCCCAAAGATACTTTTTCAGAAGGCAGGCTGACTTTCTTGGTTTTTTCCCCCCAAAAAATGTTTCACTTCTCATCCAGGAAGAACTGGATGAAGCTTCTTGGATGAGAACCAAAATGTTTTCAAGAAAAAAAACCCCAAGAAAGTCCAGTTGTCTTTTGGAAAAATACCTTTGGGATTGTCTGAGCTTGGTTGTTTTCTTGCAAGCATTTGATTGCCCGACTAGTTAACATCACTCTAGCACTGATAATGTTATCTAGTTGGGTAATCAAATGTCTGCAAGAAAACAAACAACCTCAAAGAGCACTAAGAACCACATACAATGTAAGCTCAGTCAGAGAAGCCACTGTTGTATCGCACAATAGAAAAGCCACATATTTGGCATCCCCTATTTTCTTCATTTCTGCAGCTTCAGAAGAACGGTAAAACTTTTCTGTCTTGCTGGTGTTAAGTAACTGTGAGTCAAAATCAATCTTTATTGATCTGCTGCAATTCAGCTAGCAGTGTATTAGTTGGTCCTGATTTACTTTCCTCCCATTACAGGGGGAACAGCATTTGGGGGCTTTGGAATTGAATAAAGAGATTAGGCTTGAAGACATAGAAAGGGCAGGAAGAAATGTGTTTTGAGTGTTTTAGAATTCTGAAGTCCGTAAATTATAAATTTTCAAATCTATAAATTTCTCTTTGGTATTTTCACCATCAGAATTATGGTGAAATTCCAAACATTGATTGAGTGCCTGAAAAACTCCAGATTTGCCAGGCCTTCCATCATAGGACGTGAGTCTGAATTTTCCATTTTTTAGCAAAATTGCTTGATCAGGGAAAGATGACATTTCAGAAGATAGACTAGTACAAAACTAGGAGAAATGGGTGACTAGTTCTTGCAAGGATTTATTCCTGGCTTGAGGTAAAGCAGTGTTTCCCAAACTTGACAATTTTAAGGCATGTGGACTTCAACTCCCAGAATTCCACAGCCAGCGTTGCTGGCTGTGGAATTCTGGGAGTTGAAGTCCTCATGCCTTAAAATTGTCAAGTTTGGGAAATACTGAGGTAAAGGATTGTTTAAGTCCCCATTCTGATCAATTCCCAGACAGAGGAACATGATGAATTCTTTGGCTGGTTCCTGAGCCTTCTTGGGAGGCTGGAAGAATGGATTCCCTGAAAGACAGCGATGAAGAAGATGGGTTAGAAAAACCACTTCAGTCTCATGAAACCTATTTATGTCAAGGTAAGTTTGAAGATCATCAAAAACGGCCTTCTCTGACAGCACACTAGCCAAAGATTGTGGCATGTGGTCCTGCATATCTGGAGCCCTTTACTTTGGGTGAGGCTGTTTCTTATCCTAAATAACTTCAAATCCCATGAGGAATGGTAAAAAAAAAAACACCTTAGGGCAATTGAATATATATGAGTGAAAATTAAGGGAAGACACAATTATTATTTTCCAATATTAGAAAGGCATGCAAGAGACCAACTTGAACAAATGACTTGGGATGATGAGGAAGAACTTTAACAAAACAGAGAGAAATGGAAGAACTTCTCAACAAAGGAATGAACTTTGTTGAGACATGATGCTCTAGAAAAATTCAATACAAGAGGTCCTGAGTATTACAGTGGGCCCCTTTCTTGATGATTTAATCTGGAGCAAGACAGGACCAAACTGCAGGAGCTATGAGAGGTTTGGGGCTTTCCACTTTTGTGTGTATGTGTGTGGATCCACGCACATGTGCTTATTTGTTTTGCTAGGTTTGAAGCAGCTATACCAGTCCCAACAACTTTGTGATGTCACGTTGGGGGTTGAAGGAAAGAGCTTTCCTTGCCACAGGTAAGTCACCCCTACAGCCCTACAGACTGAGGCATCTCTAGCTATGCAGACATTGCTGAACTACAACACATTGGGGAAAAACTGGTCCTTCCAATCTACAGTACTTTTAATTGAGTAAAATTATTAAGCTATCATGGCTAACAGGAAGGAAGGAAGGAAGGAAGGAAGGGAGGGAGGGAGGGAGGGAGGGAAGGAAGGAAGAAAGAAAGAAAGAAAGAAAGAAAGAAAGAAAGAAAGAAAGAAAGAAAGAAAGAAAGAAAGAAAGAAAGAAAGAAAGAAAGAAAGAAAGAAAGAAAGAGTAGTTTATCTGGCCAAGTGTGATTAGACACACAAGGAATTTGTCTCTGGTGCAGAAGTTCTCAGTGTACATGCAAAACAACAGAATCATCATCATCATCATCATCACCATCATCTCAATAAGAGGGATGAGTAAAGAAGATAATAAGAAAGATAAACAATAATACTACAGCCATACTACATGGATAAATGCTCATAGACATTAAACAGCACTGTGAGAATTAGATGTTCAGCAGAGTGATAGCATGAGGGGAAAAAAACATCTTTGTGTCATGTTTTGGCATGCAATGCTCTGTAGTGCCATCCCAAGGGGAGGAGTTGAAACAGTTGATGTCCAGGATATGAGGGGTGTGCAGATATCTTATCTTATTAATGTGGAATTATCTCAGAGCAATGTTTCTTAATCATGGCATCTTGAAGACGTATGGACTTCAACTCCCAGAATTCCCTTTCCTCAAATGAATATAAATGCCCAAAGCCAGGGGTCTTCAAACTTGGCCCTTTTATGACTTGTGGACTTCAACTCCCAGAATTCCTCAGCCAGCATGTCTGCCTGAGGAATTCTGGGAGTTGAAGTCCACAAGTCATCAAAGGGCCAGGTTTGAAGACTGCTGCCCAAAGCCATCCTATGTTTAATCATTTTTGGGTTTTTTCCCCCTGCAGGATGCTGCTGGCATCTGTTAGCCCTTATTTTCGAGATCTTTTCACCAGTGGCAGCTGCGAGTCTCAGAATGGGGAGATCTTACTTGAGGACATGACAGCCTCCACACTCCACAGTTTGCTGGATTATCTCTACACAGAAGAATTGTCCCTCTCAGCTGAGACTGCTCAGGATCTTTTCACAGCAGCTAGCAAGCTTCAAATCCTCCCATTGAAAGAAACAGTTGGAAGGTAATATTTACAGAATAACAGAGATGGAAGGGACCTTGGAGGTCTTCTAGTCCAACCCCCTGCTCAAGCAGGACATCCTAAAGCACTTCAGACAAGTTGTTGTCCAGTTGCTTCTTAAAAGCCTCTAATGATGGAGCACCAAAAATTCTGAAGTTCCACTGGTTAACTCATGGGTCTTCAAACTTGGCAACTTAAAGACTTGTGGACTTCAACTCCAAGAATTCCTCAACTTGCCAGGGCTGGCTGAGGAATTCTGGGAATTGAAGTCCACAAGTCTTAAAGTTGCCAAGTTTGAAGACCCCTGGGTTAATTGTTCTCACTGTTAGGAAGTTTCTCCTTAGTTCTTTAGTCAAGCTCCACCTAAAATTAGAAGTCATTCTTTTTCCAAGCATAATTATCATGCTCTCTTTAGCAACACATATTAAGAAAGGAATGGGGCTAATTCTGGCAACTGAACTAGTTCCTACCTATATCCTCTGCTTTTCACTGACCTTGCAGCATCTTTAGAATACTATCCAGCTTGTTAGTCTAGCACAGTGGTTCTCAACCTTTTTAATGCCGCAACCCCCAACCAGTCATAAGTCGAGAACTACTCAACCGGTCGTAAGTTGAAGACTAAACTGGTGCAGTATCATTTGCAGACTGGGACTTTTGGAGGGCTCAGCAGGGCAGAGACAGCCTGGACAATTCCTATTGGCTTTTGAAAGCCAATAGAATTAAACTCTATTCAAGAGAGTCTATTCTATTGGCTTTCAAAAGCCAATAGAATAAAAGAGAGTAGCACAGCTAAGGAAAAGGGGGAAAAAATGGCAGACTGCGTTGTTTGGCGACTCCTGTGAAATGGTCGTTTGACCCCAAATGGGGTCCCGACCCTCAGGTTGAGAACCACTGGTCTAGCAGCCCGAAACCCACTCTTAATTAGCAGGTCCTCCATACTGTCAGATTCCCAATACAGTTAGTTCTTGGTTTACAACCATTTGTTTAGTGACTGAAGTTACAACGACACTGAAAAAAGTGACATAACCATTTTTCACACTTATGACTGTTGCAGCATCCCCAGGGTCACATGATAAAAATTCATACGCATGGCCACTGATTCATATTTATGAAGCTTACAATGTTCTGGGGTCATGTGATCATCTTTTTGAGACCTTCTGACAAACAAAGTCAATAACAATAATAATAAAGTTGGAAGGGACCTTGGAGGTCATGTAGTCCAACCCCCTGCTCAGGCAGGAAACTCTATACCATTTCAGACCAATGGCTGTCCAGTCTCTTCTTAAAAACTTCCAGTGTTGGAGCATTCACTGCTTCCGGAGGCAGGTTGTTCCACTGATTAATTGTTCTAACTGTCAGGAAGTTTCTCCTTAGTTCTAGGTTGCTTCTTTCCTTGATTAGTTTCTAGTCAACAGGGAAGCCAGGTTCATTTACCAACCATGTTACTAAACTTAACAACTTAATAACTGTGGCAAGAAAGGTGGTAGAGTGGGGCAAAACTCACTTAACTCTCTTGCTTAGCAACAGAAAGTTTGTGGTCATAACTCAAGGACTATCTTGTATAGCAAAAAACTGAACTTCCAAAGGTTCGCCTATTATAAGCATTGCCTTGCCAACCACATCAAAGTCAAATCACTAAGGAGGAAGGCATGTTGCCTCCCTAAAGTCAGGGCTGCAAAACCTTTTAGGAGTTATATTTGCACAATATGGCAGTCTAAGCTAAAATGGGGGTCTTTTGTATTTCAGTGTGTTGTGGGAAAACAACCATTGTCTTAGCAAGTTATATGAGCCAGGCCAGGGATAGGCAACCTTGGCTCTTTTATGACTCGTGGACTTCAACTCTCAGAATTCCTGAGCCAGCCATGCTGAGGGGAAAGGGAGAGGTTTCCAAGCTGAGCAATGCTGGCTCAGGAATTCTGGGAGCTGAAGTCCACGAGTCATAAAAGAGCCAAGGTTGCCTATCCCTGAGCCAGGCCATAATACAGAGCCATTATAAAGTTGGCTTATTCAGGCATAGCAAGTAATGTGGAGCCCAGTGTGTTTAGATTAACCTGAGGTGAGAAAATTAGTGTGTTGTCTGAAACCAACAACTGTTTCTTCAAGGCATACTGTGTGCCCAAAAGGGCACAGTGCCAAGATACTGACATGAGAGAACTGGGACAAAAACTAAACTTGATTTATACTTAACATTTACATCTAAATGTAAATGAAACACAATGCAATTTACTTTTTATTTAGATTAAAACCATTAAGTGGCATTAATAGGAGTATCCCCCATGCCTTTCATAATTTTCCCTTTCTGCCTCATTAAAACATATAATTGGATGGCAACTTTGCAAAGAGTTCTGGGGGTCAAACCGTAACCTTTCCAGGATTTCATGCAGCTCTGGAGAACTCATGGGCTGCTGAACTTTGCAATATTCTTGGAAACACATCATTATAGACAGTCCAAAAGCATACAGCTCCTTGTGACTGTTTCATGAGCCTCCTACTATGGCAAGGAAAGTGCCATTGTTGCTTTCTTTTCAACGGAGGGAGTCTGGTTATTTACAAGTGTACAGACTGAATGTTGAGGAAGGTGCTTAGCAACCCTTTGCTTCCTCAAATGTCTGGAGAGAAAAATCCAGTGTATGACTTATCCTGTATCTTCTACCCTTCAGCAACTTTTGCTCTTTCAACCCAAAACTATCAGCAAGGTCTCAGCCCAGGGCAAGGACAACAAACCCTTGTATCAAGTTAAAAGTGGCATGAATTCCAATGGGGAGAAAATTGGTATAAAAGATATCTAAGGATAAAAAAGGGATTTCAAAGCTGCATTGTAGCTTCATCCCAAACTAACAATGATTAATAGAAGAGAACATGGGTAGCTCAGGGTTGAACTGTGGGGTCCTTGGTGTTCTTTGAACATGTTTGTTTTCTTGCAGACACTTCATTACCCAACTAGATAATATCATTAGTGCTTGAACGAAGAGAGGTTTTCTCTCTATTTACATGCAAGTTGCTAGCCCTGTCTGTTGATGGGAATGTTCTTGCTGGTTCCTTAATTGGGCTGTTATCTGCTGAACTGGGTGATAAAGCATCTGTAAGAAAACAACCAAGCTGAGAGAGGACCTAACAACCAAGGATCCCACAACACATGATTGGATTTAATCATCTCTTCAAATCAAATCACCATCCTGAATCACAGAATTCATTTTAGGGTATGCAATGAAGTTTGATGCTTCTGAGCGGATCTAACAATTCTGATAAAATTTATTTGGCTCAAGAATTTCTGTACAATTCCTGAAAGTTTGTATCAGTCCCTAATACAAACTGCTGAGTTGAATTGCATTAACAGCCAGAATTTGTACAGACTCTTTGGATCGAAAATTTGAATCAGATTTTGGGTGATGTGTAGATTCCCAATAATATCTGGATCCCAAAATAGAAAGCCCTTAGAGTGAGTTTTCACCTAAAGATAAAACAGATGAAGGCATTAGTAAAAAATGTTTGACTCTACATTTATCTTCGCTTTTCTCTCAGGTTCCTTGAGATGAATATTTCCATGGGTAATTGCCTCAACCTGTATGGCTTGGCCTATGAGTTCAACCACCCACCCTTACTTCAAGCAGCTCTAAGCTACATTGAACAACATTTTGGAACCCTCACAAAGCAAGACGCTTTCCTGAATCTGGATTCTGCTGCTCTGATCAATCTCATCTGCTCAGACCACTTGGAAATAACCTCTGAACTGGTCATCTATCAGGCTGTGCGTAGCTGGGTGGAAGCTGCAACCTCCCTACGTCTCCCACTGTTTCAGAAGCTTCTTGGACATGTCCGCTTTCCACTGCTCGCTCATGATGAGCTCGTTGATGTCCAGGCAGATATGGCAGAATATTATCGCCATGTGCGCCTCAGGTGGAAGGAGCTGGATGGGGCAGGGAGATTGCAAGAGAGTGGTGGGCTCAGAAAAGGCATGTATGACAACTATTTTGTGTGTGTAGAGGTCAATGAAAACAGGATCCAGGATGGAGACAACGCAGAATCCTATTTGCATTGTTTTGATCCTCATGCAGAGAAGTGGGAGAAGTTACCACCAGTAAAATATCTGAGCTACTCTGGATGTGCTTCTGTGGGATGCAAACTTTATCTGTCTGGTGGTCAGAAGGACAATTGTACATTTGTTGATACTCTCTACGAATACAGTTCCTTGACTAGTCAATGGATGCAGCTTCCATCTATGAGCACAACCCGGGCTGTGCATCCTTTCCTAGGCTGCAACAAGAAACTCTATGCTCTTGGAGGCTGCAATGATCTGGGTCCTCTTTCTTCTGCTGAAGCCTTTTGTGTGGAGCAGAATATTTGGACTTCCATTGCTAACCTTCCCCTTGCTTTGATGTACCCTGCTTCGGCAGTGCTCAAGAATAAGCTCTACCTAATAGGAGGGAAAGCTTCCTGGAGCTACCGGGGTCTTCTTATCTATGACACAAATGCCAATTGGTGGACCGAGGTGCCCATGGAGTTTGCCTGTTATGGCGCAGCTGCTGTCTCAGTTGGAAATGGGATATATGTTTTGGGTGGATACTCAGAGGAGAGGGGCAATGTTCTAGTCCACACTGGGATGGCCAGCGAAGAGGTTCCTTCCTGTACCAAAGGTAGTTTTTACCTCTGTGAGAATGGCAGAGTCAACTGGGACGTCAACATACCAGAATTGCCCATTGCCTTGGCATTTGCTTGCGCATTGGAATTCCAAGGTAAGATTTACCTGTTAGCGGGCAAAGATGAGAACAATTCCTATAACACGAGCTACAGCTGGGTACCCGAGGACACAAGTTGGACCCAATGCCCAGAAGAAATCCCTGTCACCAATGAAGTGAGACTGTTCAACTGCGCAACTCTGAAGATGCCCAAGAAGCCGATCCGGATTCTTCTGCTTGCAACAACAGCCAGGTCTACTGTAACCGGGGTGGACGATGCCAAGAAAGGACAGTTTGGTTCTTTCAGCAGTGATGGCTGTGGGCTGAATTGCTGTTGGGGTTGAAATTAATGCAAAATGCCTCTCCCAATCTCCTCTATTTCTCTGGCTTTTAGCAACAGGCTCACACAAAAGAAGACAGTCTCTTCCAAATGTAGGACTTCTCTGCCCTCGGGGCTGATGGACTTCATGGATGTTGCCCTTGAAACAATGAGTCTGCTTGGGATGGATATTTCACAAAATCAATACCATCAGCACTCCATTTGTCCTTTCCAACATGAAATGGTTACATCTTTGTTAGGCTTCTATTAAAAAGCCCTGGCTCTGTTTTAGTTCTTTTGCTATTTTCTCCATCCTCAGAGATCAGCTGGAAAATGATTTCATTCATCCATCCATTTATTTATTACTTTTTACTTTGACCATCCTCTGAATAATTCTATGCTGCTTATGTGTGGCTCTCAGCCAGACAGTTCAGATCTGGTTTTCTTAGCTTTGAAGGCAGAAGCTGCCCTTTGACCTTCAGATGATATATATCAGGCTGAAAATATCTAATCCTGGTTTTCTAACAGTGTTTCTCAACCTTGACAATTTTAAGGCATGTGGACTTCAACTCCCAGAATTCCACAGCCAGCAATGCTGGCTGTGGAATTCTGGGAGTTGAAGTCCACATGCCTTAAAATTGTCAAGGTTGAGAAACACTGATAGAACAATGAAAGTAATTGGTTGAGTTTAAACATTATGTTAACACAGTTTGTTTTAATTGGAGTCTTCCAACTTGTTAACTGTGATTTATAGCCATTATGGGTGAGTGCTAAGCCATAATCATGTTAAACCACACAAGCAAGGAAGCTTATAGCTGAATTCAAGACATAGAAACAATGTTCCTTTCTTTCTTAATCTCGGTTAAGAGACAGTATGGTCTCCAGGTTAATTGTTGGTAATCTTAGCCAGTCCCTATCACTTAAATGTCAAGAAATACATAGAGAAGTTGTTTTATTCCTTATTCACTTTGATAAAAGGGAACTTACTTCCAAAAATTCTTTCAGAGAAAAACAGACACTCAGTGGAAATCTTATGGGTGAATTGTGGTGGTCTTGAAATTACAATAGCGATCAAATGTCTGTGAATATCCTATCTTCCATATTGCCAAGAACAGAGCCACCATATCTGGATTACAAATCCCAGATATAAGTAGTCCTTGACTTACGACTACAATTGAGCCCCAAAATTCTGTTCCTAAGTGAGGCATTTGTTAGATGAATTTTGCCTCATTTCACAATCTTTCTTGCCACAGTTGTTAAGTGAATCACTGCAGTTATTAAGTTAAGTTGTTAAGTTAAGTTATTAAGATTCACTTAATAACTTAACTGCAGTTAAGTTATTAAGTGAATCTGGTTTCCCCATTGACTTTTCTTGTCAGAAGGTCACAAAAGGTGATCTTCTGGTGCTTTGGAACAGGGGTCCTCAACCCCCGGTCCGTGAATTGGTACCAAGCTGCAGCATGCCAGCAACTGATCTGCACAAACAAGCAAAGCACCCTCCATGGGATGCAGGCAGCACACAAAACCACACACTCTCCAGTCTATGGAAAAACCTTTCTCCGTGGAACTGGTCCCTGGTGCCCAAAAGGTTGGGGACCTCTGCTTTGGAGAATAGGTTGACCTCCTCTTCTTTGTGGCAGCCCCTCAAATGTTGGAACACTGCTATCGTGACACCTTTAGTCCTTCTCTTCATTAAACTAGACATACCCAATTCCTGCAACCGTTCTTCATATGTTTTAGCCATCAGCCCCCTAATCATCTTTGTTGCTCTTCTCCACACCCTTTCCAGAGTCTCAACCTCTTTTTTATATTGTGGTGATAGTCTCCTTATTAGGATTCTAATCTCCTCAAGGCTCCCAGTTTATGGCTTTTGGAGAATTTCTTTCAGCATTCATTTCAAAGTGCAATATCCTGGGCTCTGTTTTCCAAACTAACTATGATCTATTGGCTTTTACACTTCCCCACATTTTGTGATACAGTTACTAGCTTTAAAGACAGGCAAGATAGGAGAGACAAATTGATCTAGTAGTTAAGATGCTGGATGAGGAGGAAGGAAACTGTTAGTTCCAATTCTGGAAGCAAGTTGGGCAAGTTTGGTCCAGTTATTCTCTCAATCCTAGGAAGAAGAGAAGGGCAAACCATGTGTGTAAATCCTACCAAGAAAACTGCAAGGGTTTTTCCAGGCATTTGCTAGGACTCAAGATTGATTCAAGTCATTTATTGAAAAGTGGACTGTGACAACAAGAGAACATGTATGAAATTGACCTTAACCATGGTCTCTAGGCAGTTTACACTCAAATACCCTAAAAGCTGCAATTTGAATAAAAGCATGTACAGTAAAATCAAATAAAGCCCCAAAAGTAAACACCATATAAACTAGGCAGCAGCAAAGCAGTTCTTCAACATCTCATACATTAGTTGTTGTTCTTAGTTGCAAAGTCATGTTCGACCCATCGTGACCTCATGGACAAAGTTCCTCCAGGCCTTCCTGTCCTCTACCATCTCCTGGAGTCCATTTAAGCTCATGCCCACTGCTTCAGTGACTCCATCCAGCCACCTCATTCTCTGTCGTCCCCTTCTTCTATTGCCCTCAATCTTTCCCAGCATTACGCTCTTCTCCAGTGAGTCCTTCCTTCTCATTAGACGGCCAAAGTACTTGAGTTTCAACTTCAGGATTTGGCCTTCTAAAGAGCAGTCAGGGTTGATCTCCTCTAGGACTGATCGGTTTGATCGCCTTGCAGTCCAGGGGACTCACAGAAGTCTTCTCCAGCACCATAGTTCAAAGGCCTGAATTCTTTGGCTCTCAGCCTTTCTTATGGTCCAACTTTCACAGCCATACATTGCAACTGGGAAGACCATGGCCTTGACTTATATGTACATTAGAAAATGCATTAGAAAATGCAATTAAAAGACAATTAAAAATCCTTAGGTACCAATCTTCACCTGTTGGTGCTAAGGTGAGCTCCAGTCAAATCTCTGTTGAGGAAGAAACCCCAGAGATTATTAACGTAGAATATTAGCATCATTCCCCACAACAATTTTGTATGACTAATAAGGTCTTCTCCACAGTATTATCCAGGGAGAAGTATAGCTATAGTTAGAGTAAATTTTGCAGATTTTCCAACTTAATAACCTCAAGATAAATCTGGGCTACAACTTCCAGTATCCTTTTTATAAATATAAAAATCCTTTTAATAAATATTTTATAAATAAATATGGAGTAGGCAATATTTCCCTGCTACCTAATTCCTCTTTCTATAAAGAAAAATAAATTCAAGATACACCAGCATTGTTCTATTTGAGCCCATTTTGTAAAACACAAAACAGTTTGGATACTGGGACTAATAGTCCAGGCTTCCAAAACAATTAAAATAAATCAATTTCACATTTATTTCCACAAAGCACAGATGAAGTTTAATAGAGGATCATAAAATATCTTTTAATTGGCTCTACAGTCTCATTTTTAGAAGAAGATAGCAAGAAATTCCAAGAAATACTCTTTGTAAATTAAAAAAAAAGCCAAACAACCTGCCAGTGTATATAAAGAAAATTTAGTTGGTAGAAGAACTTTGATTTAACCGTGGTTGAGAGAAGCTGACACAAGTGCCAGAGACACACAAATATACTTCTTTCATTTTATTGCTATTTGGACTTATATTCCAATGGAAACAGGAATATGGAGATAAATAGATCTGAATTTATGAAATAAATAGGGAATTAGACCATCAACAATGAAACTCTCTGATATAAATTATTAAGATTGCTAATTAGACATAATTTCTTCTGCATAAATTCATATTATTATAACTGGTTAGAAAGTTCATGAATACCTAATTAATTTAGATGAACTGAACATTGTATTTTTTTTAAAAAAAAAGTTACAGTTGTATTATAAGTATTACAGTTGTAAAAATAATAATAATTGGATTTAAAATGAACTCTTGACTCATGAAGGTGTAGCTTAACAGAGGCCAGCGACTTAAGAACAAGTAGACAATGTTTTTCATAGCCAAGAAACACATTTAATATGTTTGGAGAAACTGAAGGCCACAAGGTAGACCAGGCCATGTCACAGATATATGTGGAGTTTCATTTTTTTAAAAAAAAAAAAAGGTTTGAAAATTGAGTTTCTAAAAAGCGATATGTCGATTTTAGTACTGCACTACTATTTCCCCTTGTTTCCCATCGCAAAACAGCTTAGAAATTGTGCCATTGGGTTTATTGATGTATGGTCAGAGGTCAACCCATAATTTGTGGCCCACCTCAGCTTTCAATGATTCCTTAGTCTATCCTGAAATATAAAGTTCATAGAATAGAGGAGTTGAAAAATCTGTTTTAAGGCAACTAGTCCAAAGTTTGATCAAGGCAAGAATTCAGTAAATCAACCCTGATAAGTAAATCAATCATCCAATCCTATTTAAAAATTCCTTAGCCATCTCATAAAGCTTCAGATACAGATAAAGTAAAGGTAAAGGTTTCTCCTATCCAGTCATGTCCAGCTCTAGAGGGTGATGTTCATCTCCATTTCTTAGCCAAGGGAGCCAGCATTGTCTGAAGACATTTCCATGGTGATGTGGCCAGCACGATTATACGCTGAAGTCACAGAACACTGTTACCTTCCCAACAAAATGGTACCCATTAATCTACTTGCATTTTCATGCTTTCTGTTGTGAGTCCTCGCCTACCAGCAGATCCAGCAGCCAAGTCAGATGAATCGGATGAGGGGGAAGGGTTGCCTGGTGTCACATCAGAGTCTGTGGAAGGCTCTGAGGAGCAGGAAGACTCAGCTAGATGTGACACAGGGCCCATCTGCTCACTCTCAGGCAGAGAGACAGCTGGATTGGGGGCCTGAACTGAGCGAAGATGAGGAGCAGCTGGGGCCTGTTCCAAATGCACAGATGCACAGGGAGGAAAGGTATGCAGGCCACAGAAGGCGGTGGGGCGGCTCTCCAGGAAAAGGAAAAGTCACTCAAAAGCCATGCCCTGGCTGGACTATAAAGAGGAGAGGCATGGGAGAGGCTGGTTGCCAAAAGCAACCGTTCATGCTACAGCTTTGTACTTCTGTCATTGGATTTCTTGCCTCAGGATTCTTGGATATTTAACCAAGTTTGTCAGCTTTCTGTGTGTTTGAATGACTTAAACCCTGAGCATTACAGCTGAGAACTCAGAGACTGAATCTTGTTCGTTTCAACAGCTAAAAGACTGGTTGGAGTTTTGTTCCATAAAAGCTGTGTCAAAATGAAAGGGGTTTA